ATATAAATGTATATAATTAAATATACACATATGTCATCTCTTTTATTATCAAAAGGCCATAGTCACTTGTGGTAGTCAGTGGCTCTGTGGTGGGCAAGTGTTTCACTCTTCGCACAATTCTTTCCAGCATATACACATGCACAATGTTCTAATTTATCGTCTATCCATCTCCCTTTCTAGCAAATGGCAACAACCGTGATTGTGGTTGCCAGCGGGTTTGTTCTTGGGGACGGTATCACGTCTATATGCACTGCTACACTCAAGGCTTCGGGAGTAGATCCCTGGACGTGTTGGGCGTGCCCGCCGGGCTTCTGTGGCACTCCCTGTTGAGATGTAGGTAGATTTAGCTAAAAATAGCTTCTACTCACTGGATAGATATAGCTATAAATATTTTCTCTTTATTAGGTAGATATAGCTATAAATAGCTTCTACTCAATGGATAGATATAGCTATAAATATTTTCTACTTATTAGGTAGATGTCGCTATAAATCTCTACTCACTGGATAGATATAGCTATGAATATTTTCTACTTATTAGGTAAATAGATGTAGCTATAAATAGATAGGTCTAAGGTTTATAGTAGCAGTCAGACACTTTTCCTTCGCGCTCCTTGTTAATATGTAGGTAGACGTTTAACTTTAAATTGAATTCGACTGTTTCAGCCTCTGGAGGTGCAGTGGCTTCGAACTGATAATAGTCTATTGTAAATAATAAAATAATAAAAATTCAAACGCACTGTCATCCGAGTAGAAGAGATTACTACTACTTTATTGATATCATGATAGCTATAATGTATGATTTAAACCTAGTTTAAATCGACTGAAAACATATCCTATCGGGCGGGCAGCTCTTAATATCGAAATTGAAATTGACAATGTTTGAACGTCTCACTGAACAATCCCTTCTGATAAATCGAGCTCGCTCGAATATTCAACGTCCCATAATGTCTTGAATATGGCTGAGCAGAATCCTTAATAATATATAGGACATGAACTGGACACCTCTTCAAGTATAGAGTGCCAATACACTCTACAAGTTGGTTCGGCTCTCGGACGTATCGTATTCCTTATGACTCGACCCCATCATCTTTGCCGTACCAAAGCCCGCGCCAGCCCCAACCACGGCACACAGAAGGGCAATCACCACTACCCACACCGTATCCAGTCCACTACTACTAGCCTCGCATTCCGCAGTGCTTGCCTCAGATGCCGGAGCAGCGGACGAGAGTTCGGCAGCCTCTACCTCGGTATTGGTCGCGTTAGAAGCTGCGGCGGCACTGACCCCATTACTCTCTACACCCTCTTCACCAGTACTGACCCAGTTCGAGTTCAGGGCCGTGCCATTGACAATCTGCACAATACGCCCTTCCTCAGCCGGGTACACCAGACCTTGCATCTTAATGTACTCAATGAAAATGTCCGCGTCTACGAAGTTGTAGTTGACCGTAGGGTGCGGGGCAAACATCTCATACCCATCGCCTCCACCGGCCAGGTAGCTCAGAGTAACCACGGTGTAGTTCTCATTCACGTTGATGTCCACATAGTGGGGTCTGCCATCGTTGTCGCTGCACTGAGCTTGTGTTTGGCACAGAATCTCCGCGTCCACGATACGCGATCCGACGGGTTTGCTCAGATCAAATTTGTGGCGAATACCCGAGAGTTGGGGGAATCTGAATAGTGAAGTAAAGGGGGTTAGATGGTTAGATGGTTTAATTCCAGAGTAGCCACAAGAAAAACTATTCAAGATTTTAACAACGAACAGGGTTACGTATTCCAAATTGTGGGGAAATATGATCCAAACTGTTTGGTATATAAAACAAACACGCATTCCTATTCAGTTTGGCACACATATACACAACTTTTGTACGTATAAACATACACACCCCACATCCCACGTCCAAACACCAACACACACACACATATATATATATATACAAGTATATACCTGCCCTCGCCTTCCTCTACCATACTGACGCCATGCTCCAAAGCTTCCAACAAGGCACTGCCGGGCATATCAACGGAGATGATCTCATTACCGAACGGCAGCACATTAAGCGCATCTCCATACGCGATAGTTCCTACTTCGATATCTGAACGGATACCGCCCCCATTCATCAGACCGGCTAATGCAACCTTTTCATTATTTTTTATCATATTCATGATTCTGTAAACGTACGAATCGGCGATGAGATTGCCCAGATTGCACTCTTGTTTGCGGCATACAGTGCGATCTCCCTGAGAGTATTGGGTGGTATTGAAGCGATTAGTAGAGATGAATGCCATGTCGGTTGGGATATACATATACATATATGAGTATTGAAAGCATGCTATCAGGATAAATACCCCACGGGTAGACAAAAAAAAGCTGACAAGGCGCGGGTATATTCGGGATTTTAGATGATCGGCAACGATATGATATGTTTGTATTCAGGCAGCCATGCGTGTAGCTCACACCAGCGCGAATTGCAGAACTTGTAGTCGTGGATTATACGCCACAAGGATTAAAGATACATATAAACATAAATTGGTATGCAAGTTGTGAGATTGAATATTTACACATAAATGTTGGATCTCCCAAATACCTATATATATGCAGGTGCAAAATAGATAATTTAGGTTGTATGTATGCAAGGTAGCACTCACCATCAAGAAGACAGCCGTTTGAGAGATTTCTTCCAGAGTGAGGGCAGTGACATTATGTCCCCAGAGTTCAACCTCGGCCTATAAAAGAAAACAATATTTATTGCTAAAAGTTTAGTATCTGGTAACACTTTGCAAAATTGTCAATTCTTCATCGGAAGCCAAACCCAAAACGGTTAAAGTCATAATACTCGACGTAGAAGCTATCAAGTGAAATGCTCCAGGACTTGCCTCTTCTATGGGGCAGAGAAACAGTTCACATGAACGCTGCCACGTATGATTTCGTACTCACTTGCACGGCAGAGTTGATAAACACTAATTTAACGATACAATAAACGCTTTTAGACTCACCTGTACGGTGGGGTCAGCAGGAATGGCCTCGAACTCTCCCGTGGCGTTCGCTGTGATCATGATAGGATGATTACTGTAACCAGTAATTTGACCGGCATCATCGAAAACCAGGTCGATATCTCCCATATACTTGGCGTATTGGTAAGCCTGTACTACCAAGGATTGAGTGCCGTCTGCGTGCTCTACGACGGTGGGATAAGGTCCAAGGGGGTCCTCGGTGGCACCCTCAGAGTCCGGTGGTCCGTACAGGAAACTGTGCGAGTGTCCGCCGACAACGATGTCGATCTCAGGAACAGCTTGTGCCAACTGGGTCAATACAAATAGTTATATGAATTAAATATATATATACATGTCTTAGGCAGTACGCTCTGCAACGCTTGTAAATATTTTTAAATGAGTCTTTCGTACGCATTTGGAAGTGGATGCACCATACGGTAAATTTAACGAGTGTTGCTGATCACGATGCAGACCGTAGACGTTATTGGTAGATTTCAGTTAACCCATATATATATATATATATATATTAGTCTGAGCATCACATCGCGTGAACATTCATATTCCTGGAGTCGGATTTTCAGCTAAGAAACCTGTACTCGATACGGTGCAATACGTGGATCTTGCGGACTAGTTTAAGCGAGTCTATAGTGTACGCATTCGTGTCGATCCATACATATATTTTAAACATATACATGCCTGAGTGTGAACTCATAGGTATACAAGGGTATCCATATAAGACACAGATAAGAACATACCGCAATATCGTTGTCGTAACCGTAGTGACCCAGCACAATAAAGATATTGACTGTGGGGTCTTCCTCCTTCACCTGTGCGATAGCCTCGGGCACCTTCACCAATGGATCGGAGAAGATGGTTTCTGCAGAAGGGCTCGCTGTACGTTATTGGCACATATATGGAGGATAAATTAGACTAGGGAGTAGTGAGGAATATCTGCAAAAGAATTGGGATTGACAAACAATCAGATACGGCGTATGTGTGGTTGAAGGAGTTTACATATACCAGGTACGAAGATACCTCCAATACAATTTGGTCTGGCTTTCGTAATAAATGTATACCATGTACTTGGGCATACCTAAGAAGACGGTATCCGGTGTGGTGATTCCTATGATAGCTATTTTTCGGCCGCTCTTCTCCACAATAGTATATGGAACGAATTTTCCAGCTAGATCAGGATCACCTGAAGCGTCTATGTTGCACGCTACCAATGGGTGATTGGCCGTATCCAAGAACTCCGCGAGTACAGGCGAGCCCTGGGAAAGATTCGTAAACGGTGTATAGGGTTCATAACAAAGAAATTACGAAATCTTGTCCATAAAAATCAAACAGCTGTGTGCACTCCGTCTAGACTGAAGGATCACCGCATTTTTTTATCCCAACCAAGGAGACATTGATATCCCGACCTTCTATCGCACGAGTCAACACGCACTTATCGTTGCGCCGAAGAAGCGTGTATATCAGATGCAGAAAACCCCACAACGGCCAAGTACATCATAAAGAGTGCTGTTTGGGATGACGTAACAAACATTCAGCAAGGTCTACTTTAGAATATGAGACATGAATCCCTATATCCCATACAAGCCAGCACCCATCTCCTGCTAATAGTACCTACCAGATCAAACTCGTGATTGCCAAAAGCCTCGGCATCGTATTCCAGCATGTTCATGAAATGAGCTGCCGCTTGTCCCTCATACACGTAGAACCAAAGCGTACCAGAGAACTGATCTCCGGCATCCAGCAGCAGAACATTATCTTTCTCTGCGCGAACACGATCTACGACCGTTTTCCGGCGAGCCACACTGCCTATGAGTAGGTCATTCTGAGGATGTAGTGAGACAAGGGAAGAGTATAAGAAGATTTGAATAATTCCAGACTATAGTGCGTAAAAGGAACATGATTGCGGGTCAAAGGATTGTGCGAATCGGATTTGAGATTGTACATTGGTTCTGCTAGTGCACAACGCCTTGTACAGAACTTGTGATAATTTCAAGAGTCAGGATAAGGGTTTGAATTGCGCATGCTACTTCGGACAATACTAACAGATATTGTATTTTCATACAGAAAGCTAAATAGGATCCTTTGTTGAATTCTCTCATAAAGATACATGTTGGTGTTGGATAGTGGGTCATCAGTTTGTGGAAAGCGAATCATTTGTTTCAAATAGACGTTCCCACTTTCTGTGTTGAAAACTTGGACATTTCTCTCATATTCACATTCACAACGATGACCACAGTGATAAGACACCACACCACATACCTCTTCATAGTCGTCGATGTGTGCATGCACATCATTGGTGTGTAGGATGGTCAAGTTATAACTTGCAACCTGCGCCACAAGGCCCGCAACAATAGTCGCTGATGTCCAGAGCATATTGTCAACGGGTAGTGTGTCCACTTTTGACAATTGATGAGCATCATGTTCGCATACAGTATATTATATATGAAAAGTAAAAAAGTATTCTCCGTATGGTCCGACCGCCATAAGTTCCATTCACTGTCGTTTAAAAATTTGTCCGTTCAGCTATATTCTTTATTTACATTTAGTTAAAAAGAGGAGAGTGTAATAGAGGATCAGGACTCATGCGGTCGCGCCTCACAGCCCTCACTTCAAATTTCAAACTACAAACTTGTACTCAAAAGTTCAAACTGCGCATTATCGTACATAAACTAAAAAAGTAAAATTGTACTAATCCTGGTGGCAGATGGTTAAAAAAGCAAGCACAGTCTGTCAGTCACACGCATAGTCGCACACACATTCTATTCAATACTAAAAATAGCAGAGGCCACTACTACTACTCTAGTAGAGAGAGAGATAGAAAGAAAGAGAGAGAGTTGGTGTCTGAGACTTAGTAGAGCGAGAGGAGTAAGCAAAGGATTCAATCAGAATGCAATTGCCTCCAGATATATATTTATATTTTCATATTTTGCCTTATACGGATATTTTTTTCTTTTCTCGTGATCCATTGGCAATGCTGGAACTACCTAACAGTGATTGGTCCTTTATATGGTTATGCCAAATGTGGCATGCGCACAAATATGCAGACCGCAACGAGGGTATAAATTATGAATTCTCTGTAGCATATATTCTTATATTATAACCAATTGCTAATGACTTTAGTTTTTAAACTCTATTGTTGTAAATAGACAAATAAATAGGCTAAGAGTGGAGAGCCCGAGACTCTGAGTCTGAGGCCTGAGGCCCTGAGGCCCTGAGCTCTGAGCCTCCTAAGGGCTGAGCGCCTGAGCCTGAGATGCGTCGTCGATTTTGACGAGATTTGATCACTTTCAAAATTCGAATTCGAACTCAAATTCGAGGATAATACCTGGCTCTCTGACTCTCTCTCTATTTAGTAGAGAGAGAGAGTGGCTACATATTTAGAGAGAGTGGTTCTGACAGTCTGACCTATCGATTTTTTCAAAAATTAGTTTGTATATTTTTTTAAATATAAAAGTGTATTCTGACTCATATTTTACTCTACAATTTGGCGCCAACTGTTTTTTTTTCTCGAAAACGCCCGCGTGTACCAAATATAGAAATTCGAGGTCAAAATCGAAAAGTAAAAACAATCAGGACGAAACAGCCTGTTGCTGTTTGGAACAAAATCTTTATTTTTTACCTCGAATTCGGATTTTGAAATTATTATTTTTTGCGAAATGCACGACATAACGGGCCTGGCCCTGAGACCACGAGTCCGTGAGGCACGGTGAAGGAAACGATTAACGAATCATGTTTATATAAATTTAAACCAAAATAAAACTGGATTATTATACTTGAAACGGGGTGCATTTTTATATATAAAATAGGTCACGGGCCATGGGGCATGGGCCCATGGCCCATGGGGCTGTGGCCTGTGGGGCCTATTCAAAAATAAATAAAAACAATGTAATAAAACCACGAAGTTGTACAGAAGTTCAGAACTCAAGTCTCAGAACGTCAGTCTTGTTCACTCTTCTGGCCTCAGAGTCAGACTCAGTCTCAGACTCGAGTTCAAACAAAGTCTGACTTCAGACTTCACAGTTCACAACAAGAAACTGAGAACCTCACCAGCTAGTAGTCCTAAAAAAAGGGGGTTTTCCCCTCACAAAGTCCCAAGAGGCCAAGGACCCAGCAGGGGTATACCGTCAGCCATACAGTCATACGACATACTGTCAAACACTGCATTGTGTTTTTAGTATTTTAAATAACTTGTACTCATATCTCCCCGCAGGGCGGTGTGAGCTGAGCTCGATAGTTTTATGAGTTGTCGCTATTTAACTCTGTGTCTTATTCATATTTTTGTACCGAACTATATCATACTGGCATATAAAGATAATAATACTGCATTACAATGAAAATTGCAAACGGTCAGTATTATAAATATAAATTTATGTATTTTGTTTATTATGCAGCTATTCAATACTTAGTATGAAGCTCCCACGCGAGCGAGAACCTACTTGATGGCGATTTTGGCTATAACCGGAACACTTTCGGATATGATATAGGAACACCACTCACTGCTCGAGAGCAACGTCGTTTCAGTGACGCAATTAAAGGTGGTCACTGTCCTGTTACTTTTCGTCGTCCAACGCCAATCCCAATAGATGATCCGTATGATGTATACGATAACGATGAGCCTGAGAGCATTAGAGTACAGCGCGAATTAGAGGAGGCCATCGAAGGAGATATATGCAAACAAAACTGAATCGGACTACACATGACTACAAGGATATTATGCTTGAGATGCAAGAAGAATTCAGCACTGTAGGAAAAATAGTATCGTGTGAAGAATGTCATCTGATCGTTCCCATCGATAAAATTGTCTGCGATTGTGGAGTTGCATTCAATGTTAGGAGAGGCGGTTGCGCAATCAACGTAGTTCAACGAACGGATATCGTATTCCGCTTAGCTCATATCTTCACAGCTGGTATGTCGAACAAACTCCATAGTGATACAGCGACTAAGTCTTCTGTGGTCTTGACAGCCGACGACATTGTAAGCTGTACTAAATGCGATCGTGGTCGAAAACCTGATGGTATTGCTTGTGAGTGCGCTTACTGGTATAATAAGCCAGTTGATTCTCCTGGTGGTAGTGCTGGTGTGGACGACAACGAGTATGACGGGTACTACGATCCATCTGACATCTGTGATCTCAATCCTTATTTGACGGAATCGCCGTACACCATGGCTAGGATATATGCACCAGATGTGCAACAGCAACATGCGGCTGTAAAAGCACGTAAGTTCGATTAAGTTGTATTAATTAGTTATATTAATAGGAGTGGATATCAATGTTCTTCACTAGGTATATAATTAAATCAAAATGACATCGATCTCAATTTACGTCTATATGTGTGCTGATTAAAAATATGACTACAATGTGCGTGAGTACTCATATATACCTATATAAATACATATAAATATATTGT